TTAGTTTAAGGAGGACTCCTGGCTTGTCATTCTATGCCCCGAGGACCCAACTGAACCTAATCCTAGAAGTCTAGGATTAAAGCTGATCTCCAGGTCAAGTGCCTCCTAAATTTTAAAGTGCACACAGATTCCCTGGGGCTCTTGAGGAAATGCTGACTCTAATTCAGTAGGTCCGGTTTGGAGCCCGGGCTTCTGCATTTGAAACTAGCTCTCAGGTGATGCCAATGCTATTGGTCGTTGGACCACATTTTGAGTAGCAAGAGGAGAGTCGTTCTTAAAATCTGTCAGACTATATTACCAGAGGCACTTGTTAAAAAATACAGATTCCCTGGCCCCAGCTAGACCTGCTAAGTCTGGTTAATGGATTCTTCAGGTGACTTTGGCAATTAGATAAATGTAGGAAATGCTGAGGTAGGGATCAGAGCTACATGTGGCTCCTAGGAGATGAGAGGATGAGACATTGAGATGCAGCTGAATGAAAGAGACTTGGAAAGACACCCATGGACCTGCCTTGGTCTCTCACCTCCAAATGGGATGGGGTGTCTGAGCTCCCACTAGTGGTCGTATCAGGTTAGGGTTTGCCCCGGCACTTGATGTAGAGCAGAGCCTCTTGGTTTCTTTCTCTAGTGCCTCTGGAGTGTTTATAGCATTTTCATGAACTGTAAATCAACCCCAGACTCTGTGAGCACAGACTTTCAGCAACATTCCAGCTCAGAGTTCCCAAAAATGCCATTCATGAAGTGTTGGAGCCAGACTCACAGATTCTGCTATTGGCTCTGCAAAGGAATCGGCTCCTTGAGCAAACAAAACACACAACCCAACATTGCATGGGAATCCAGAGGTTCCCCGGAGAGAGGCGGGAATGTAGGGGGTGATTACCGCTGCGGACCCTGAGTTTCTGTCCGCTCTTTGGAACTCTTCATTTGATTCCTCTTGCTCTCAGCACACTGACCTCCAGGAGGTGCCGATTCTCCTTCCTCACCAGCTCTAGCACACACCAAACAAAAGCCACAAATTCACTTATTCATTCATTCAACAAATAAGTGGGGAGCTTATAATTGCCAAGTACCTGGCTAGATGCTGTGATTCAAAGGATCGGGTCAAGTAACATAAACTGCTTGTAACCGTGACAGATAGAAAGCAAGCTTTATGTTAGCTATTCCTATTCTCACACTCATCCCCTATGGAGTACAGCAAGGCTTTCCCTCTTCAAAAAAAATTGTGTCTCCAAAGGCAGGGAAAGGTGAGAAATTTTGCTCTAGTTGCTTAATACTCAACTGACAGGTCCCGCTTCCTGCTGCAAGTGCTGACTTGTCTTTCTTCTGTCAACAGACAGACTCCAGAAAGTTTTCATTGAAACAAAGGTATAAAATACACAGATATAGTGTTTTTAAAAACATTTTTTAATGAAGAAATAATTCCATTCCAAAATATAGACACACAATTAAATAGTTTAATCACTTCAAAATATAACATGTCCCCAGGAGGTTCCAACACACACACGCACACACACAAAACAATACTTAACAGCAATACAAAAAAACCCATACAGTAGTAGTTTTGTTACAATACCAATGAATAGTGTGAAAGCTTTAGTGTCTCTGAATTGGTTATTTCAAATGGTGTCAAATTACAGTAGTCATAATTAAAAATGTCTTGCAGTTAATTAGCCTCCAGATGTAATGTTTCTGATTTTTTCCCCCTCTTTTTGGTTCAAAAGTAAAAATGCCCTTTCTTCTGAGGACACAGTGGAGTTCTTGTTTGTGGCTCCTTGGGCGGAATCAAACCAAGGTGATTGCAGCAACCAAAGGTTGCCGTATTTACAAGGTCTATCTACAGTTAACAGCCCAGAACTAATAAGGGTGGACAAGGATGACCAAAATAAAAGCAGACATCAGTGCTAAATTATGATGCAACAGTTTGGCTCATGCATATAAGAAAATACATAGTATATCACAACAAAGGCCACACTCTTATGCAATTCAGTTCACATTACTACTTACAAATGAACCTTCCCTGCCTTATAGAGATCATTCGAGAATCCATTTTTCCCAATCTCCAGCACATCTCCCTCTGACCAACCGAACTTACCCCGACTTGCGTCCTGACCAACCACAACTGATTCCTGAATCTCATACAGTAGATTCTGCCCTCCATCCTCCCTCCCTCCATTCACATGGTGCAGTGGAGGAGGGTGGTTGGCTGTGTTAGACCAGTGCTCATTAACAGGCCATCATCCCCGATGATGATGGATGTGCAATTTGTTGTGGAACAAGAAAGAAACAACCCCTGCGAGATATAATTGTAGCTAATGGACAGGACAGGCGAAACCTGCTGGGTTTGCACTTAGAACAGGTCCCAAAGGTAAATTTGGAGAGCCAGGGAAAGAAACCCGCCAAGAAACACAAAAACCCAAAACAATACACGCCATTTTGTCTCGGTTACAGGACAGGGGTGCTTGAGTCTGGTCTCAGTGCTGACGTGGCGCTAAGAGAAAGAAAAGGTGGCTGGTTAGTCAGGAACTGGTCATTGGTGGCAGTTTGCAGAGTCCTTGCAATGGCTTTGTACGACGCTATCGACAACCGTGTGATGGAGTTGGCAATGAAAGCTATGACAAGGGGGAAGGCTATCAGCCCAATAGTTCATACCTTAGACAAATATTTTGATGGAGAAACACAAAGTGACAACAGAGGTCAGCTCAGTCCAGTCGGTGGCTGAGCGCCACTTGCAGGATCAGAGTTCCGAGTTCAAGAACTACCTGGCTATGATTGAGAGCTGACAGCAATGTAGGTAGCTGGGATGTAGTGGTTTTAAGTTACCGAGTATGAGGCACGAGGGGCCACCTGCTCCATCTAGAGAGGTACGGTTTCACAGACGATGGGCAGTGGAAAGGAGATGAACGTTACGATAAACCAACGAAACCCAGAACAAAACCCATCTGTGCAAAGAAATCTGACAACCGTGCAGTTGCGCCACTTTGGTGTCAGCCTGTTTTCAGGGACATTTGTCAGGCTGGTTCTCTGGGGAAAGTATGATGAAGTACATCAACGGACAGAACGGGCTTCTTAGTAATGCCGGCGGAGAGCTTTACGGTCCCCAAGGCAAGCGATTTTGTTCCAAAGGGCAGCCAAGGAGATGGTTTGTGACCAAACGCAGGGACGGGAACAGCTGAGAGCCCTCTGGAGGGGGACCTGGAAGGTGTCCTGATGTCTCTTCTCAGCTGGGCACAGACCAACTACCGACTACCTGGGGTGGGGGAGAAGGTTTTTGCCAGCCCTAGAAGCAAAATCGAATTGCTGAAGCTTTGAGGTTGACTCAGAGCCTTTCTCGCTTATTCTGAATAAGGCCTTGTTAGAGATTTTGTTATGTAACTTTACCCTAAAGCAGTGGTTCTCAAACGTTAGCGTGCATCAGGGATCACCTGGACGGCTTATTAGAACACATCTGGTTGGGCCCAATATGCAGAGTTTATGATTCAGCAGGCCTGGGTTGCGGCTTAAGAATTTGCATTTCTAAATAAATTCCCAAGTGATGCTGATGCTGCTGGTCCAGGGAACACACTTTGAGAGCCACTGCTCTAAACGGATGTTCTCTTCCTTCTTTTAAAGGAGACAGGAATGCCAGAGAAGTTGCCAACTTAAGTATAACATATTCAATATGTAGCAGGATTTTTGTCTCATCAAATCTTGAAACAAGTGGATTATTTTTTCATTTCCCCAGAACCCCTAAGGGAGGTCGTTAAGCGCTCCCCAACGAGGGCCCTCATAAAGGACCGTCAACAGAGGCTTTCATTCTTCCTTCTTCGACAGTTCTTTTGCACACTGGCTTTTTACTGAGTGCAAAATCCCAACTCAGCTTAGAAGAGCCTGTTTCCTCGCACATGACCACAGAAGGCTGCATGCAGAACACCAGGTAAGCCAGCTAAGGCAATAAACATTCAGAAATAAAAGGAGAGTGAGCATTTGGAAGCGCACTTTAAGCCTGTACATTTAAAGCTGAAGGGCTCCAAACGGCCTGATAGGGGAACCTGTGGATGAGCGGTGCGGTTAGACATGCTCCCTAAAGCTAAAACAAGAGGAACGAGCCCGTGGAAGAGTAGAGAGAACTTTAGTCCGTTTGGGGATCTTATGGCACCTGTGGTTTATAAACAGCTTTAGTAACGAGTATTTCAAAACATAGTTCACAGTTTTTAAGAAGATCTGTGCTGATTTTAAAAACTAGATTCTATATCATTTGAATGTTGCCTTTTTTTTTTTTTTGAGTATGATAACTATTTGGAAAAAAAATATTTACACTAAATTCTATGGCTGATTTGTTAGAGTATCTTGAAAGAAAACAACCCCAAGCTGGAAAGAAGCCCCGAAGACTGGATTATCCTGGTGTGATTGGTTCAAGTCACTGCTCACAGAGACTTAGAGACAAATGCGGATCGTGCGGGCCAAGGACCCTTCTTGGCTTCCGGGCTCTGAGTCTGGACACTCAGGTACCAAATCCTTCGGGGTTAGTGAATGATTGCAAGTGGTTGTTTTTTTCCCAACCGTGGTGGAAAAAAAAAAATGTACAGTGTATAATAAACTGTTTCGCTAAAATCTCAAAGAATTCAGAAATCAAACTTCCAGCTGTACACAGTATTAATATTGTCATTGTAAACGGAACAGGTTCAATATCATGTGCAAAGGTTGAAAATGCTTGTTAACACTGCCATCGTGAGTAACAGCAGCGTGGGTTTTCAGCCTGTGGGATACATCTGTGCGCGTGTGTGGCTGTAGTTCTGTTTTTTTGTTGTCCTTGCGGTGGTTGGTTTGTTTTGTTTGTTGTTAACCAGGGGTGAGCCATGTTACAGAAGATGTGGTTGAAAAGTTAGCTTCGAACAGACGTCAGAAGTCTTTTTTTTTTTTTTTTCCCTTCTCAAAACACACACCTAAGAACTAGGAATCTTAGAACGAAAAGTTCGCTGCGCTCCGGTTGGCAGAACGCGTCTCTAGGGGTGGGGGGGTCTGTCAGGAGCTGCTGTGCGGGCGGCTCCTCTCTCTCCAATGAGGCTGCTGCCAGGCTGCGTCTTCTCCTCTGTGTGGGTGGGTGCGGGGCTCTCCTTCACCACCAGCTTTCCTGTTACCTTCATCATCTGTCTGACTATAGCTTGCCTGGGAATAAGGAACGTGTGATTTTTTTCTTTTTTTAAGACGAGAACTGTCCTCTAAATCAGGGTTATGAAACTTAGGATTCCCCCCACCCGCCTCCCCCAACACACACGTATTCACACACTCTCTCTCTGTCCTCCCTTCCTCTGACAATCCGAAACCAACGTCCGGGGACACTATGGGCTACTGCTATTGCTGCAGCGAGGACAGGAATCCTCTGTGTTGAGTCTCTTGCTTCACGGGCGCTGGAGGCATCTGGAGGGTTGAAGCCACACAAACAGGAATATTTGTGTTGTCCTCAGCCGACCAGCAGATGCGACCCCTAACCTATCATCAGAATGACATCATAATTAGAAAAAAATACCCACTTTCGATTGTCCAAGCCCCCGGTTTCTGAAGTTAGGATGTGGCTGGCCAAGGAGAGCGGGGTATCATGTGGCCAGAGGGAGGCAAAAGGGCCCAATCCAAGATCTGAGTCTGCCCAAATGGTGTTTTGGTGGATTCTTAAATTTAGTGTTAGACATTACATACACTGTTTCTTCCAAAGAGGCTCGTTGGAAAGCAAGGTTCCCTCTATTCACCCCTGTTAGTATTGATGAGTGCATTCTTATCCTCAAACAGGACTGAAGCTCTTTTTGAGCAGAGGATGGGTCGTTTATTTCTTTGGCGTCCCACCCTCTGCCCCGTACCCGTGTAGGGCTGTGCCTTGGTGGACCCCTAATGAACTTTCAGCAACGAAGCCGGCTTCAGGACTCTTGGGTAAGAAAGGCACGGCTTTGGGATAATTTCTGGTCTTGCAGCACAATCAGAAAGCCCAGACAAATCGATTTCAATAGCATAAACGGTTCCAGGATTTCAGCTGTATTTCTTGGCTGCCTCAAGAAAAATTATACCAGGATAGAACTAGCCACAAAGATGAAAAGTCACTGGCTTCTGGACTGATCCAGAAGATTTTGAGTAAATTTGGCCTAAGGAGTTGATTTAGTGACAGGCTAGTTCATGTTTAGAGTCCTGTGGAATGCCCGCTGGGGAGGTAGGAAATGGCAGAGGCCACGACGGTTTCAATTTTTCACCGCCAGATTGACAACAAAAGATGAAAAAAAATGGCCTGAGAACTTCTAGCGAACTGAAATCTTTGGCTTTTAGGTAGAAGACCCAAATGCCACTTCTTATCTGAGTTTATGTCAAGACATTTCATTAGTTTTTAAGAAAAATATTTTTCTAAGAACTAGTTACTGATGTTTAAATAATGTGCAGAATAAAAACGATCCAATCGCTGGCACTAAGAGAAAGAAAATGCTGTTAAAGGAGAGGCTTGTTCCTTTGGGACTAGATTTGTTATAACCGGAATAGATATTTTCAGAAACAGCTCCTGGGAATTTTTTCACCGTGGTCATAATGAATCAGGAGAGCATGTGGTGTGGCGTCCTCAAATCCAAGGGAGGTAGACTAGAATGCAGACAGTCAGATCCTTCTTTTCACACTAAAAAGGCCTCAAAGCTCCTAAAGTATATTCCTTAACAGCAGTTATGTCACGATTTCTACTTGCTTAATCCTAACCTGAGGACTGAGACGGGTCAGTCAGTAATGCGTGAGTTAGGATGTATTCTTTTCAAGTTGATTTGTCATTTAAGAGCTATATATTCCTTTTTAAATTTAGCAGCCAGAGTGGACTTTACTACCATCTGTCGGATAGACTTATGAAATCTATGGGTGGGAAAGACTACATCACTCAGGTAGATACAAGTCCCGGGGCCCTGCCAGCCAGAGACTGTGAGAGGTGCATTTACTCTGAACCATATGGGGTACAGCTAAAGAGCCACTGGCTGGAGGCAGAGAAAGGAGCTCGACTTATGAGACAGGGTGGCCAAAGGTGTATAAAATTATTTGCACATAGCTGAGTCCTAGCTTTGTTTATAAAAATACAGAGAGCAAGCTGGTTCTGAGTCCCGGAGGTTCCCATACACTTAAAAAATAACTACAGCAGCTCCCCAGGATGAAACTGCTTGTAAAGCACTAAGCATAGTTCCAGGCACGTATGTGTGTGCTCATAATAAATTATGGTGTGTCTGGCACGATGTTAAACTCTTTAAAAACTACACCCCGGTGAAGACAACTCCACTGTGAGGTGAGTATCATGATATATGTTGTGCAGAGGGAACAGAGGTTCACAGAGGTTTAATAATCTGTCAAGGTTATGCCGCTGTGATTTGGTGGAATCCGTATTTGAAATCAGGTCTGTTAGGGTCCAGAGTCTAAGCTTCAGATGGCTACACTCAAGTGGTCCTGCCAATCCAGTGCTATTCTCTCTACATTAAACACATTACTGAGGATTTCCCATGTATGTAGGTAGGTCCTCGGGGGTGGGGAACCACATGCCATGTAAATGATATTTTAAATTAAGCTGTATCTTGCTGAATTCCACAGTGAATCTGAATCAACTATTCCAAAAATATAAGGCTGCAGAATTTCTCCTCTCTGTTTTGCTTCCTTTTTTTTTTTTTTTTTTTTTTTTAAAATAATACATGGTTTTGCCTTTACTTGTTAAAGCACACACATTTGATCTTTGGGTCTTGAATACAGCATGATAAGAAGCTGACCCATCTCTGGACGTGATGAGCAAGCCTGGACTTTTCCTTCTCAAGGGACAGAGAGGCTGCAAACTCAGATGCTGTTAGTGGATTGGTGATGAGGCTTCATAGCCATAGAAGATTTCGGGGGCATCTCTGGTATTACAGAAGTCTCTGTGGCAATTTTCCTAATTAATAGAGTAAAAAGTCAATTCCCAAGATTGTCTGCCAAATCTCCATTGGATTATAATGTAATGCTCCACAGGCCGGGATGATTCTTTGACATCAGCAGGGAAGGAGGATATTTTATCACACAGAACACTGAAACACCTAAGAGAGAGTGATTGTGCATTTAGGTTACAAGTCATTGGAGTTCGGTATACAGTGGCCACGTTTCTTCCTAAATAAGACGGTACTTACTTGAGAGGAGAGTGATAAAAGGATATTGTATTCAACCTTGCAAGCTGACCTGCGGGTGACAAAGGACACAAACAAGAAAGGTGACATGTCAAGTCTGTGACGCAGTCAAGCTGGTGAATTATTTGGTTGGAAGCCATGCAGAAAGACAGAGAGCGTCCAACGAACGAAAACAGCATTCCGACCCATCAAGCAAGCATGTGCTCACAGAGTAGTCAAGGAAAACCACTTCAACGTTCTCTAGGGCATGCGTCTTGAGTGGGAACCCACGGGCCTACTATGTCCTCCTACACCTTTTCTTTGCCTTTCCCTGGAAGCCACTGGGCATGGAAAGGAAAGGAGAGAAAGAGCTTAAGATTAACCGGCGAAAACTCCAGTTGGGTCTTAAGCCATTAATAGAATTTCCCTTCATTTTACTCCTACAAGGTTAAGTTCCTAATTCATTCATGTAAATAAAAATCTAATATTTTATATGAAACGACTGTCTCCCTTTTAAAAAAAATCTAGAATTTCAGTTACCACTGTCACCCAAATCCAGAAACTGATATGGGCTCAAAGAGGGGGGCCTAACAGGCACCTTGAACAGCATGAACCAGAACATTGATTATTTAACCACATCCCTCTTTCCCTCTATGCAGCAGAGCCAAATGAAATACGTGTAGGAATGCCATCCTTCAGAGTTCCCAGAGACACCCTGGCAGCTTCTTCATCCAGGCTAATTTCCCTCCATGGACGGGTCATAGAAGTGGCAAAGTGAGAGCATTCTCCCTGGGTCTCCCCTTCAGGCAAATTTGACCGTTTCCGTTTCTGTAGCATCGACTCATGGCTTTACATACACAATCATTGTTTTTTTTTTTTTTTCTTTTTTTCTTTTTTTTATGACTAAGCCTACATTTTAGTTGCTTCTAAAACGTTGTTAAACTGAAAAGGCTAATGGAACATTCCAAAGGCGCCAAACTTTATTTGATACTATTGGGATGGGGTTGGTAGGCTCCAGTTTTTCTCTTGCTACATTCTTCTTGGGGAAAATATTTCAAAACAATCCATAAACATACGAGAAGTAGAGGTAATCTGTTCTTTCTGCCTCTCTCTTTTTAAAAAATTTTTAATGTTTATTTTGATTTTTGAGACAGAAAGAGACAGAGCATGAGTAGGGGTAGGGCAGAGAGAGAGAGGGAGACACAGAATCTGAAGCAGGCTCCAGGCTCCAAGCTGTCAGCACAGAGCCCGGCGTGGGGCTCGAACCCACAGACCGTGAGATCATGACCTGAGCCAAAGCCGGACGCCCAACCGACTGAGCCACCCAGGTGCCCCCTCTCTGCTTCTCTTTCCTTCACTAACAGACTAAGAGGGGGATGCTGCTCATCTAAGAATGTGGAAGAGGCTCGTCTGCTTAATGGACAGAAAGCCTGACATGAAGAACTATCCCAAGGGGACCTGGGGGGGAGGCAGTAGGTCTCAACCACGCAAACATCCCTGAACTCCCACAGCCTCAAGGAAACACCTGTGAATTACAGGGAAGAGAAATATTCAAGCAAGACAAACACTGCAGTAGAACTACTCCATGGGGAAAACGCATCCCTTTTAGGATGACTTACTAATCAACACTTATTCCCAATGGCATGTGTTATGTCCAGTAAATTCTCAGATGGATTAATAGTATACCCCAGTATATATGAAAATCTGTCCATCCACACCCTGCTGAACATGGAGCCTACAGTTCTCCCCCCCACCCCACCACATTTCTCCATGAGATTTGATACTCTCCCACATATTTATTTTGACATGAGGTGGGCAGTGGGGGAAGCTGAGGGCAAACGATTCAAGGGAGGAAATATATTTATGCTTATTCAGTTTCCGGGTGCCCTGTGCCCTGTTTTTTTGTTTTTTTTTTTTAATCCATGAGAAAAAACATCTTTCCCAGCGATCTTGGAGGAAGATGGATTGTTTCCATCCATCCCCATGCATTTCCACTAAGGCAACGAGGTCTTTTTCACTTTTCGGGTCAGAATTTCTAAGAATTAATGGTGAGCTGTAGCTCTCAGAAGCATTTACAGTTCTTACTGTTTAGAATATGTGGAGTAAGAAACGCACGCAGAATATTCTGGAGAGGGAAGGTGGAAGAAAGGAGTGGGTGGGGATTTTCTGAGTCATGTCAAAGACCCAGCCACCGAGGGGTGAGGGCCGGGGGGTTGGGGGCTGGGCCTGGCTCCCCATACCTGGTAGGTTTCATCCTGCAGCTTCTGCTTCAGGTACTCTTCCATTTTGAGCTCGTTCTCCAGCTGCCGGACAGAGTCATTTTCATAGTCCTCATCCTCTGGCTGCACGTAGGGGTCCCCATCTTCTGTGACCCTGGGAATACACCACAAGGGGTGTTTGGGAGCAAATCTTTTTTTTTTTTTTTACAGTTTATTTATTTGTTTATTTTGAGAGAGAGAGAGAGAGAGAACGAGTCAGGAAGGGCAGAGAGAAAGGGAGACAGAGGATCCAAAGTGGGCTCTGGGCCAACATCAGAGCCTGATGAAGGGCTTTAACTCACGAACCATGAGATCATGACCTGAGGTGAAGTCAGACACTTAGCTGAGCCCCCCAGGTGCCCCTGGGAGCAAATCTTAAAAGTACGAGTAGAACTCCAGTGTTAGCTGTAGTTTGGGGCCCATTTACTTAGACCCCCAGTTCACTTCTTTGTTTCAATTAATTTCAATTCAGTGTCCTCTGTTACCTAACAGAAAAAATTTTTATAAACTTTGGAGATCTGGAGATAGACATGATCAAAGTATTCTCATATGCAGTTTTTCTATGGCACTCTGATGATCACTGGCCATCTGTGTTTTCCTCTGACTTACAGGAATGTAAGGGGTTGCCCTTAAAGTGTTTGTCAATCTTAAAAAGGGCAGCCTTATCTTTTGGGAGGATATAGTCTTCTTAATCTGAGGACTTCTTTTCTCTTCTTTTCTTTTCTAATGGAAACCAAGATCACTTTCTATAAGGAAAGTGAGCCCTCTAGTGAAATAACGATTAAGGACATTTGTTCATAATTTAACCCTCTTTGTGTTATGTACATATGTAGGCACATGCACCCATGTGCTTTATTTTTATAGTAGAATAAGTCTTAGAATATCAGCTCCTCGGTGTCTGGAAGGTAATACTTGAACTCATAGCTCTGGATCTTAAAAATTTATACTAGCTCTGAATCTAAGAAATCTACTTAAATTATTCAGTTCTACCATGAAATAAATAGCTAGCAATGATCTCATTCACTAATGTGTGACTCTATTTCCATGTATCCACCCAGTTTATAAAAACCCTTCCTGAGACTGAACGTAAATTCACGACCTAAATCATAGGACTAAAATATTCTCAGGGTAAAACACGGTACATGTTTAGGTAGTGCAGATATTAAAACATCCCCTAAAGTGAAAAGAGTGGTCAAGTAGAAGTTTCTGGGTTGGAACTTAAATACCATTGTTTACATTTATTAATGTCTGTATGACATGTTCTCATTATATTTAGAGGTTTGGGGCCAGGCTAAATGGGTCTGTGAGGCCTCTATGAACTGTCCCTCCCCAATTCCCGCAGCCATGTTGGTGGCTGGTTCTGGCACCAGCCTACCAGGGACAGTGGACTGGGGTAGACTTAGCTACAGGCTTGGATCTTGGGATCAGGACGAGAAGACTTTAGGTGACCACACGTAAATGCTTCATTATAAAAAGGCAAACAGATATGTTATTTACCAGACTAACCTGATGACCATTAATTCACCATTCTGAATAACAAATCAAATCATTCTAAATTACAGAGGAAAGGACAACAAGCTAAAATTAAAAACAGCAGCCTATCACTATTTGAAATCATGTTATAACTGTTTTGTTTTGATCTTAAGGCCTGCCTTTTCACAACCAGCTTTCAAACCACATTTATAATTCCCCATTATTACTGGTCTACTCGCTACTTGGATTGAGATCCAAAATGCCAGAAACGCTTCTGGTTAGTTTCTTCTTTGGGTCCTGAAACTGGCCAGTTTATTTTTGAAGACTAGTCGGCAGAACTTTTCACATTAAACATCATCACCCTCCTGCAGTATGTTTTTAATTAAAGTTTTAACTTTATTTTTTATTTTTTAGAGGGAGAGAGTGCAAGTGGGGGAGAGGAGAGGGGCAGAGGGATAGAGAGGGTCTTAAGCAGGCTGCATGCTCACTGTAGAGCTTGGGGCTTGATCCCTTGACTCTGGGATCATGACCTGAGCCGAAATCAAGAGTCAGACGTTCAGTGGACCAAGGCACTCAGCAGCCCTGCTTCCGTAATTTAAATGCTCAGTGATCCCCTTTGCCCTTCTGGTGAGCGCCTGTCCATGTCTCTCACAGCTGCATGAGCCTCTCTTCAAGGTTCCCTTGCTTCCCTGCCTTCCTTACCTCCCAAATGGGCTCTGTACATCTGTCCTAGCTCCCCCTTTGTTTCTCAGCTTTGCTTTCCTGTCTACTTTGAGTTTGAACTGATCCAGGGGCACAGAAAGTCTAGAGGGGACATCACTGATTCTGCTGGTTTCTGTCAAACTACAGAAGCCTAATTGGAAGAAAATCTTTGTAAAATGTCTTTCAAAGGTCAGATTTATACACACTCAACAAGTCGACCAGATTGGATTTCTTTATAATGAGATTTTATATATTTACTTATTTCAATTCCAAGTGCTTTCATGATGTTTACATTCATTCTGAATAGAGGCTTCTCCAGCATCACCTGGTCCTCTAAGGGCAAATACAGTAAATTTAGAAGATAGAATGATTTATCCCCTGAATAATAATAGAAATATCCTGTGAAGTGAGTCCTGGAAGGCTGGGAGGGAGTTTTAAATACTATTTTGCATACAACGAGCACTGTGCCTTGGGTGAGGGAGGCTCTCAATGAGCACTGCTTGCTTTTAGTTACCGCTATTCTCACTAAATAGTGAGAGGGCAAAGTTCCAATACCAAATTTAATGTAGCACCCTTCTACCTCTTCTGCATCGTACCTTTCCAAAATAAAGGACTAAGCAGCCATGTTTTTATTTTCTTATGTTCCCTACTGAGTATTCTGTTACTGAGGAATGTTCTGGAGCAGAAGATACTCACACGTCACTACGCATGGTGCTGGGGGTAGCGCCACCGTGGAGGTACCCAGGTTTTCGGGCGTGGATTTGTGCTAGAAAAGCCTTTTCAGTGGTTGGCGATGGAACCAGATCCTCAAACTGAGTCCGTGCAAATTCAGAATCCACATTACTCTCAGTTTCACTCCCCACCTCTATTAGGGACGATGGAAGAAATGAAGAATGGCTTAGGTTATTTTATGATTGGCCAATAAAGGGCTAGATTTAACATAAGTCAACCTTACGTTTATACAACCTGCGCTGTATAAAACATCAACCAGTTATTGTACATAAGTCAGTGGAGTTTATTTTTTTTTTTCAAAATGACATTTGATACATGAATTTCTAGAAAATTATTTGGTATATGGTATTGTCTTTTTTTAAATCTCAATATTATGAGGAATTTTTGTGTTTTAACTGGCTTAGTTTCTTAATACTTCTCTTTTACCCTTTCTACAAAAGTCTTCATTAAAACTGTTCTTAATTTTGCTTAATATTATTTTAATTTAGGAAATACAAACCTTAAAATACTACATTCACTTAATATTTCAATGCATTATAAATATAAACTAATAGTATATGAAGTGTCTACATAAGAGTAACATTTTTAGTCATCATTTGCTAGGGCAGTGGGTACGTGCCATTAATCATGGTGTATTAACTACTGCCATTTTTATCCTAGTTGCTAATCTTAATCCAGACTAGCAGAAACAATTTTCATTACTTCATTTCTTATTATAGCGGCTTTAAGAAACTTAAATCCGGATTTTTTTTTTTTTTCAACGTTTCTTTCTTTATTTTTTGGGACAGAGAGAGACAGAGCATGAACGGGGGAGGGGCAGAGAGAAAGGGAGACACGGAATCGGAAACAGGCTCCAGGCTCCGAGCCATCAGCCCAGAGCCTGACGCGGGGCTCGAACTCACGGACCGCGAGATCGTGACCTGGCTGAAGTCGGATGCTTAACCGACTGCGCCACCCAGGCGCCCCCCCCGGAATTTTTTTTAATATTGAAGTTTTATTTCTTATAATTTTTGTAATCTCAAACTATGGGACCAGAGTCGTGCCAGACAAATATCTTGCCAAGTGGGCTTATGGAACAGATGAGATGTATTAGTAACTGGTAAGATATTTATTTGCATATTCATGCTGTTAAAGTTTTAAAAACTCCATACAGTATTATTAGCATGAAGAGTCTCACTCAATGTTATGCTCTTTATTTTCTGGGGAGATCTCTCTTTAGACATATCGCAAAGGTAAATTTCAATTTAGCCTCATTCAAATAGCCACGCGTTTCAAATTAACAGAGTTTAAATTAGTAAATAAAACATTTGACCTTCTAAAATAACTTTAGCTTCATGTCACATTGGATCATATATTACAAGTTACAAATAATAGGTATTACAAATACTAGAATTACAAGTCAATTTTAGTATTTTTCTTTATACCTATCGGCATGTTTCAAACTCTCTGCATTAAGCATGTAATTAACCGTCTTGTCAGCAAAATAGCAACAGTGCTGAAATATCTGAATATACCAAAAATATCACATAGATCTTTAAAAAATCCTTTTTATATTTGACAATGAGGAGATCTCTAACACAGGCCCCTGGCACTTATGGGTCCCTCTGCAAAGAGCAGATACAGGAGAGGGGACCGGGGACTCACCGGAATTCAGCTCTTTCACAAGAGAGGACATGGTGTTAGTGATGGAATCTGCTGCTACCAGTAAGTCATTTCTTAAGTTTCTTCTTGAACCTTGAGTGAAGAAGAAATGATCGTTAAAAAAAAAAATCACACAGCTTTTCCTTTCTTCCCCCCACTTTTTGTGCAGTTTATCATCTACATCGATATCCCAAAGCAAGAAAAACTTCCAAGACCTCTCCTTTTCAAAGGTGTTTTGGCTTATTTTCTGAAAAAATACATTGTCCTTAGGGTAATGGCTTCGATGTTAAGAAGACATGGCCACGGATGAGGGAGGGGCTCATTTAATTGATTGTACAAATTGGGAGAGTTTTGCAAGTGAAAGGGGGTGGTATGATAATAAGACTGTGATGTGGCACAACCTGGGATGGTCCCAGGTAAACCAGTATCTATTGTCGCCTTTCTTAGGAAAACTCACACAGATGCAAAGTCTGGTTTTGCCCGGAGACTTGCACCTTGCCAGCTGCTGCTACCGTTTCAGCCATGACCTGGTGGCTCAGCACGTGGGATTGCGATCTCCATCACCACAGTCTCTATCTCTCATTAGGGCTCCCAGAGTTCTCCCTATCATGATAGGTATCTCTGGGGAATGGGAACCCCTGAAGGCCCCAGAGCATACAAGACGGGGGGAGATTCTTCTCCTGCGCTAAGACCTGGGCAGAAGGTGTATGTCTAATACCCTGAATTGAAACTTAGACTAGGTTTCTCCATGGTAGACAAAGATTACGATGATGTTTCAGGCACACGAAGGGTTAAATGGGTATTTGTCGGCTGGCTTGGGTGTGAGGTAGAGATGGAACATAATATCTTTGGAAAAAAAGGCTCAAGATTCCAAACAGCTGACCTGCAGATGAACTTAGGCAGCAAGAGCTCTTTATGAGCTAGGAGCTGCCTATAGGCCACATTTCATCCTGTACTTTCTCAGAAAGTCAAACTCAGTTAAATAATAAATACGTGTAAATTAAAAAATCAAGGGGATCAGAGAAAACAATTATAATATAAAGCTCTTAGGGGCGCCTGGTGGCTCAGTCAGTTAAGTGGCGGACTTCAGCTCAGGTCATGATCTCATGGTTTGTGAGTTCAAGCCCCATGTCGGGCTCTGTGCTGAAAGCTTGGAGCCTAGAGCCTGCTTCGGATTCTGTGTCTCCCTCTCTTTCTCTCTCTGCCTCTCCCCTGCTAGAACTCTCTCTCAAAAATAAACAAACATTAAAAACATATAGAAAGCTCATAGATTTAAAATACTGTAAATTTCCTTAAGATCAGATTTAGAGAAAGGACATTTTTTCTTCTAAAGGTGAAAAAAAGAAAGTTATTTTGAATAGCTTAAAAATTTTTTGTATAACTTACTTTCTTTTTCAGAAAAAAAAGCCGTATTATGGATCCTTCCTTTTCCCTCCTAGCAGAGAGTACGTCATTCTCTTCCTTTAAAATGTAAGATTTTATCCCCTATACAAAATGGATGAGAATGTCTCTTTCCTCACACTCTTGCTATTTGTGGATATTACTAATGTTAATTTTTTAAAAAATCTGCTAGGCAAGAGGTGATACTTGTATTTCTACAATAGTTTGTGAGATTAGACACCTCTTTATATCTTTATTGGCAATTTATAGTTCTTTCCATATCCCTCACTTATTTTTGTTTCGGGAATGTCTTTTTCTTACTGATTTCTCTATGCTTTATGAGTAGCTGAAATTATGCAACTTGATTGCCACTTAATGCTGGAGACGTTTTCCTCAAGCCTATTTTTTGTCTTTTGACTTCATTTATGTTTCTTTTTGCCTTAAAACTAGTAGTCAACTATCTCTTTTCCTTAGATCTATATGTGAGGATCTGGAAGGACGTTCATGATATATTGCTAATTTAAAGAAAATGCAACTTGCCGACCAAAATGCAATGTATGGTCTTGTTTGTGTGAAAAAGAAGGGTAGATGTTTATAAAAACACACTGAAACATACGTAATTATATGTACATGAAGAACTGAGAAGGGCCAAACTGTTTAATAGTGTTTACTTCTGGGAATGAGATTGGCAGAGTGAGGGTCTGCAGAAGCATTTTTTCCCCCGAACTCTCTGTAAATGTAAAAAGTGATGGCAAGAAAAAGTCTTAAAAGTCTTAAAATATTTCCAAATGAATACAATCACTTGTCTTGAAAGACCTTACCCCTACCCCCGGCGTGTGAATGGAAAAGGCAGCAGGTGAGAGAATACTGTTATATTTATCAGTCTTTGTGCTCCTGTTAACTATGGAGGCTGAACCTCCAACCCTTTGGCCCTGTATTACAGAGGCAATGGTCAACTCTTTAGGGCAGCTGTAAAATGATTAAATTATCTGCTTGTTCATTGCAGGGCTGCATCCCACCTCAGCTGGGACTGTTTAACCTCAATTTGAGTTTGCTTTAACATAAAGGAAATAAGATCTTTCAGAACTTTAAAATGGGTTACATTTATAAAGTTTCCTGGGATATTGGTGAAAGGTTTTCCCTTCCCTTAATGAGCAAAGACTCCTAAAAAATGGAGCAGGGCGATAGAAGCTGAAAGAAGGTAAGATGGTGAAGTGAGTAACAGGCTAGCCTAAGGAGTTTCTGAAACAGCTCTGGGGCCAGGGGCCAAGGAATACCCTGGCATTTCCACACTGTGGCTCCGAAGATTCTAAACGGTCAACAGACCGTGGTGACTTATGTGCCCCGTGAAAAAGCAGAACACAACAACAAAACGTGACCCCACTTACTTTGTGCAAACGCCTCCTGAACATCACCCCCTACCCCCGTGAGGGAGTCCTGAGGCGTGTGGGACGGGCTGGAGCAGGCAGACGCGGACCGCACAGGCATGGGGATGGGCCTGCTGATGGTGTGGCTGGGGGAGGAGCGAGGAGAGCCTGCCCCCTGGGTCTGGAGAGACAATGTGAGTCGTTAATTTGTTTTCCCAAAGCCTCCTTCAAAGGTTAAAAACAGTCACGGTGAGGTTCCCAAGCAGGAGGGCATCCTAGGTAGTTGAGATGGTAATCCTTAACCTGAGTTGCAGGTGCAGACAATTTAGGACCTTATTCTGTATAACCTGGAGTTTTGGTTACTTGTTGAAAGTTAAGAATATTAGTACAGCATCATTCTATAATACATGATATGTGCGCCCAGGTAATGAGGCTACTGTTAAGCGGTGAAATTTACAAGGTGTGTCTGTTTCCTCCTTGAAGGAAGTTCCACGTAGAATAAAAAGACGTTTATTAAGGACAAAGTTTGCAATATAAACGAAGAGACTATTTGGGATGGATGTGGTTTATACCTTCCTAAATATTCAGTCTGTCTGTCCTGGCATCATCTTTGAGGATAACTTATAGGCCAGATCCTGTCAAGCAATACTGGCGTCCCGCAGGAAATGTCCTTCTCTTCATTGATGAAAAAGCAGTTAATTTCAGCAATCAGAACAGTGGGGTTTAAGAGGGAGTAAAGAAAAAAAAAGGAGAAAGCAACTGAAAGCCATTTCCCTCTATACCACAGTCCTCGGCATGAAACTGTTCACACCTTGAATTTCACAGCTTTGTCTCCACACAATGAGGTTTCTTGGAAACACTTTCTGTGTTATAATAATTAGTTTACAAAGGAAGCCAGTCATGAATAAGAGGATGCAATGAGACCCTCTGGTGCATACTCAGAGGTGAGGTGTTCAGGTGCTCACATAGACTCCAGTTCAGATTGCTGGGTCCCGCCAGGGAGAGTGAGGACTCTTCCATAGCAAGGCCCAGAGATGCAGCACCAACCCATTCACACCCAGGGACGTGCACCCTGGGAGCACTGCTCTGGAGTGTTCGATTTAGACTTTGCTGAGGGTTGGGCTGCTTGCAGTTAAAACACACAACATCAATCCTGTCAAATGCCATGCTGTTAGCTTTCCAGGGCTTGGCATCACACATACAAGTCACATCTATAAATTGAGAAAAATCTAGAATTAAACACAAAGCAAAACAGAGCAGAGCACAGGAAATAACTCATGTGATCCAGTGGGCTGGGGATTCCACTCTTTTCATTCTCAACAGTACCTTGAATGGTCTGTCCGGGCCCAGGGAACGGAAGCTTGCCCCCTCGCGATGCTTTGCAGCCTGTGGCCCCAGCCCGCTCAAGGACAGGTCTGGTTTTCCCCAGCAAACCTTGCCAGTTCATCTCAATAGCCACGAAACTTCTGCTTCTGAGCTACCGTGGCACCCCCCCCTTCCCACGCCAATAATACATGACCATATTTGAGTCATGCGTTGCCGTGTAGAAGGGTCTTCATATGCATTTCTCTCCATGACCCCCTGAAGTAGGGCATCATTACTCTCAAGATGCGATTGTGGACCCCAGTGCTCAGAGAGGTAAAAAGGTTTGCCCAGGAGGCAGAGCGGGAGAGCTTGGGCTGGCCTCTGAGCATGGATGCTCTGTCTGCCCTTGGCTGCAGGGACCTGGCTGGGTTTTGCCTGCTGAGGGCCCATCAAAGGCATTTCGCTGCCTTGAGGGCTGCCTCCCCCTGGCAAGCCCTCTTGTGTGCCATTCTCCAGGCAGGGCCCTCAGCGGGGCTCCCCGCCCTTTCTTACGTGTCCTCTTTACCCAGGACCAGTCACGGCACGAGATGGAGGAAGGACTGGGATGGGAAGGTGGACAGAGGGGCTGAAGGGAGGAGGTTAATGGCAGGGATGCCTCAGCTCTGGGGAGCCAGACCCTCTTCTGGGGTAGCGGGTTCACGATAATAACAATACAACTCCACTTGTGTATGTGTTACAGTGGAGAAAGCACTTTTCCGTACATTGTTTGGTTTCATTCTCCTCATTATTGGTGCTAGGAATGATAGTAGCTTATATTTGAATAGCAATTCGCAGTCTATGAAGCACTTTAACCCCAACGATTTCACTTAATCCTGCTAGCCACCATGTGAAGTATTCTATTCCCATTTTCCAGGTTAGCACACTGAGGCTCAGAGGTGCTAATTGGGTTACCCGGTGAGAGAGTGGCAGAAATAAACGAGATCCCCAGCCTTTCGCCTACAAGCCCAGGGCTTTCCCACCGCACCACAGCCGCTTCTGAGGATCGGGGGCCCTGTGACCAATCACCACACACTTCACTCACGGAGAAAGGTTTAGCAGCCTGAAGGCTGAGAAAACACAGTATCTGGACCCACCGGTGAGGGGTGTTGGAGTAGGGGCCCCAGGCTTCTGGCTGGGCTGTGCAATAGCTTTCAATCGCCGGATGGCGGGGTGCAGTGTGAGGGCCCTGGTGGTGGAAGAGACTGTGGGCCGATTATCAATCAGTACAGATACACCGGTGCAAATCTCTTATCTGCAAATTTGAAATCCAAGAAGCAACATTTGTCGTTTCATTACTGACATGAGGCTATTTCTGTGGCGTCTGCACTGTACTGCCTTTCTAAAACCCAGAAAGATTCTGAATCCTGGGACACACCCGGACCCGGTGACTTCAGATGTGGGGCTGTGAGTTTGCATTTCAGTATCTTAATGGCTGTACTGGGGCTGCACGCACACCAGCACCACTGGCACCTGTTCCATCAGGGTCTCCCGTGCAGGGTGCCCATGGCGCCGTCCTCTCCCTTTGGGCCTTCACCTGGCCCTTCTAACCTTCCAGTCGGTGAGTCTCTTACCCCTGGCAACACTCTCCCCTTCTCCTTGTGCCCTGGGCTCTCTCCTGCTGCGTTTGAGGCATTCCCAGCCCTAACTCTCCCTGCTTAATAATGCCTGGTCTCCAAAGTCAACTTTGCCCACTGCTTCCCTCCTGCTTCTTTCCTTCAAAACCCCTCTTCATGGTCTGTGTGAAGAGAAAAATAATTGACTATGGTGATGTGTTAAGGGAAAAACAATGGCCTGAATGTAAATGACACCAATGTGTAAATGACTGATAGGCACCATCTCCTAAATGAGTATCTAATTGGTGCAATTTCAAGCAGTCTGATTATGTGCAGAATTCAGGTAGAGATTCTGTGCTGGAGACAAGATCCAGTGGCATCTTCCCTGCAACTCCCAACCCCCAAGGAATGTCCAGACTCCGGCGGGGAGGCCCCTGGCTCCCTGGGTGACGATGGCCCTGTCTCTTTGTCCGGACACTGTCCAGTTGGATGCACAGTAGCTTCCTGGGACCTACTGCTGGAAATGCCGTCTCTGGCCTTCCTTTCTGTTCTTTCTGTAGACTCACTAGGAAAGGACAGTTGCCTCTTGGTATTGGGGTTGATCAGTGGAGTTTCATTTTCGGGTAGTGACCACTGCGGAATGGTGGCCTCTGGCCTGTTCACAAAGTATATATAGTTGTCTGCTAACAACTTCAGAAGAGTTAGAGTGAGTGATCTCTGCGAACATCCTTTCCTGGAAATTACTTGATGATTAATGGAGTGAATACTTAAGGGACAACGGTCCATGCAGATCAATATATAGATCTAAAATTCCTGAGAGGAGGGTTGATTTATGGAGGAAGGAAAACATACATCATACTTGGCAAATTTAAAATAGCTTGCTTCCTAGTGAATAGATGAAAAATTCATTTCTGCACTCCATCCTCTGAGCCCACTCAACCTGCTGTTGTATCAATTTTTAAGAAGCCTGACAAGATCCATACATTTTCTGATTTTTTCCAGGAAGTATTTTGGTTTCCACTCGGCACCAGAAAGGAGGGAGGCTTCAGGGAAGGGACCAAATGTGTGCTGAACCAGCACTGCCTGGAGACACGGCTGAGCAGATGACCAGGGGACACGAGTGCACAACCCTCCCCCTGACTGAAAAGCCTACCTCTCGGGTTTGGCTGGGAATGCAGCCCTGTCAGCCAGGTTTGACTCAGCAGCCGGAGAAGGTACAGCAGAGTAGCGTTTAGCTATGTCCAACCCTCTTTTCACCCTCTTTTCCAGTTCGAGTTCACTGACTATCATCATAGGGATTGCCGTGTACAAAGGGCTGTGGGGGTAGGGATGAGGTGACTAATCCTAACTGGTCAGGCAGGAGGCATCACTTAACTTGAGTCTTAATAGTGGAGATTTCCGGGCAGAAGAAAGGTCGTATTGCCAGGAGAGAAGAATATTCCAGGTCTTAGAGTGTCATGAGCGAGGGAAGAGAAGAAGAGGGGTATCGCAGAGAGCGTGAGGATGCCCCAGGTTTGCTGTGGGGAGTGAAGAGGGCTGAGGCTGGTCAGGGGGTGGTTTAATCTGAACCAGAAGGTCATCTCCGAAGGTTTCCAAGTAAAAAAAAATAATTTTTACTTTCCTAGAATGAATTGACTAAATCCCTAATTTTAAAAAAGTTTGTGTGAGAGAGAGCCTGAGAGGGTATGCTTTGAACACTGGATGCCAGTCCTAATATTGTAGTTGATTATTTATGATGTGAATTGTCTCCCCATGCCCCACCCTGCCAACTCCATCCCATTTCTGATTGCTTCACCACTCCACAGAATACCCACCAGAGAAGATGGGTGAGGGAGATAAAGGAAGGTGAACTGATGCTGATAAAACTCGTTACTTCTGGCCCGCTCATATTCCCAATGTGTTTGGGAGAAGCAGAAACCTGAGAGACCATGATTTCCCAAGTTAACTGGGCCTCCAGTTATTAATAGAGAAGAGAATGGGGGCAGGAGATGGAATTTGAAATGATGTTTCACTTTCCTCCTCTGACTGAGACACTCTTAGTTAACTGGAAGGAAGAGAAGTGAGTGTGTGTGTACATGCACGTGTGTGTGTAAAATAGGGGTCAAATCACAAAAGTTTACATATTGTTGGATGTATGTGTATAAACATATACACACTTTTATACTAATCTCTGACATGCATATAGTATTTTACAAAGTGCTTTCACATCCATTAGCTTTCAAAATCTCCCCCCAAATCCTGTGGGCCATGTATTAGCAGTCTGCTTGAGATAAATTACCAGGAAGTTAACTGACTAACTCAAGATCTTACAGGTATGAGAGAAGAACAGGGACCCTACCGTCCGGTCTAACACCAGTCACCTTTCTGCAAAAATTTTTTGAGACCTTACATCCTGAACTCAAAGTCAGGATAGCTGGTTTTAGATTGGGACATGATATTGGAAACTGGAAGTCTACCAGAAACTCTGAAACATACTGTCATTGCAATTATACCCCAGCTGCCTTCATTATTACACTTTTTATGAGTGTTCTTTTTATGGTTCCTGCAATAAATCTTAAAAATACACAAAGAAGAAAGAGGGTAGGATAATTTTGATGCAAGTTTTGTAAAAAAAAAATTTATTGCTTATGATACCATAATCATCATATTATATTACAGGCACTATTTTTTTTTTTAAATTCATGTTCTCTCCTCAAGGGGGATAAATTCATGCATTATCTCTAACAAGAAACAGAAGTAGGAATTATATATACCAGTATCATAAAATACATTGAACCACAGAGACTTATGATAAAGCAAGTAGAGGTTATTAAATCAAGCACAATTTGTTGTGTGCAGTGTCTTAAATCTGATTTTACAAAGAGAATGTCCCCAAAGGGGTAAGGCTCATAAATAAAAATAGAATTTAGAAGCAGACGGCAGACTAAAACCTCTAAATTCTCTCCTTAGATCATGTTATACCAAGTCTATATATTTGAATGGCATATGTTTCTTTCCTTGTAGATCTGCCTGCTCAGGATTGGGACGTACAGGGTTCTGTCTTTAATTTTAACTGAAGGTCAGTATAATAATCAGCCACTTAACATCTGCTGCTGCATTTGTACCGTTTATTATTCAGCACAAATTCTCTAAAGCTCCGAGTAAAGACTTCTTTTTCATATTTTATGCCAACAGAAATTTTGGTCCCCTGAGAACTGGTATTTCTGTTCCGATAAAACCACCAATTATGTTTTCCTTTTTTTTTTTTTTTTTTTTTTT